GAGGGCCGACAGGGCGGGCCAGGCGGGCTTCGGCCACCCTCAACTTCTTTGCCGTTCCTCCAGGCTGCCTTCTCACTGGCGAAGATCCTAGAGGCGACATCGGCCGTGTCGGCCCAGGTGGAGGAGCTAGCCACCAAGTGCTCGGAGAACGCCCGGTTCCTCAGAACATGGCGGGACCTGCTGAGGGAGGGGTACGAGTCCTTGAAGCCCAGCGGCTGACCCTGCTCCCGCGGCTACTCCGCCGGGACAAGCTAAGCTGTCCGCATGTGTCGGACTGGAATGCGGTTTTATTTTAAACGGCCTTTTTCTGGGATTTGGTGTGGATTTTTCTCTTCCCTCAGCCGCTCCTGTGAACCCAGAGTTCTTCCAGAAATACTTGGTAACTCGTATGGATGTTGTATGTAAGTCACCGAATAAAATAACTTTGTTTAGGGAATCATTTGTCACTTTTAGACTTCTCCGTTGCAGCTCAAGTGATCTCATGCATGAAATACTCTCCTATTTTTTTTTTTTTTTAAATAATGTGGTGGGTGCAAAGTTAGTTTACATGGTATGTCCAGAACTCATTAGTGGTGGGGAAGTGGTGTCATGCAAGGAGGTGTTGTCAGCCCTCCTTTTTAAGAGCTGCCACCAGTGGAAACTACCAGCTCCAGCGCAACTTGCTGAACTTGCTTCAGTTTTTATGTATGCACACTTCTTTGTGTTGAGGATGGGAGCTTATTTACAAGCTTTAGATAAGCCCTGTATCCCAAACCTCACTATTTTTTAGCAATAATGTGATAGATTTCTATAAAGCTGCAGATTTTTTTCCAAGATGCTTGATTACTGCAAACAATTTAACACTATATTTTGTTGTAATAAAGTGCCTTATGATGGACCATAGATCTTTGCATGGTAGAAGTTTAACAGAATTGTTTGCTGATCAGATAGATCATTTTGAAATATAAGTAGAAGCTTCTGTCAGTTAGAAAAGAATCTGTGAAATGTATTGTCCCATCTTTTGGGAGGCACGTTAGAGTTTTTTCTGCATTTGGTCCTATTTTATATCTTTGTTGTAAGCAATTACTAGTTAGCTAGTCTAGTGCTTACTGTTAAGAGAACTTTTTGATCTGAAGGATCACTAATCTGTAATAAATAGCTGTACTGAAACTCCTGTGCCTTTACCAGAGCAGTGCAAAAAAGGTAATGCTGAAATGCAATGGGAGGCTGCAGGAGAATATGACTGTATCATCATTTGTTAGTCAGCCTTATTTTTACTGGTAGGTCTAAACTGTAGTTTTCTTATTAAAGCAATAAAGATGTTACCTAAAATTCTGAAATCATGAATGTTCTTATGTTACTCTTAGAAACAAAGATGACATTGAATATATCCATAATCAGCTTAAGTGAAAAACAGGTAAGGGACAGGCATCCTTGCATATCTCATCAAAAGCAGTTACAGTCACTGAGAAGGCTTGGCCCCTCAGAGTACATAAGTACTATTAAATTGAGTTCTAATTGCCCCAGTTAAAGGCAGTCCATGTCAGGATTCCAATTTGCTGTTTTTAACCCCACAACCCAAAATGTTGCTAAGAAACCTGGAAAAGAAGCAGTTTTATTCAGCAGATAATCTTTTATTTCAACAAAATACACAGTAGTGGAAACAAAATGCTTAACAATCTTTGATATCAAGATAATTCAAAGTTCTGTAAACAGCTGAAGTGTGAGTCACACTTTTAATATTCTACTTCTCACGCTTTTAAGAAGTTAAGTGCAAACACTGTAAGTATCTTTTAACTTTATTTTTAAAAGCCTCAAATCACCAATGTAAAAGCATTTCTTTTACCTTTGTGGACTTCTAGGCTATTTGACTGTGAGCATGGTACTGAGAGAACTAGGAAAGTCATTGCAATTCATAATGGAAAAGATTCTCTTCAGCAAGTATATGCAAACAAAATGCCTCTAGAGGATTGTTTCAGATGGGATAATTTGTTTTTACCCTTGTAACACTGGGATGTAAAATAGTGCTCCCAAAAGTGCTGAGTGGCTCTGCTCCTTAAATTATTTTAACAGTAATGCATCCAATCAGATGCACAAGGTGATTAAAATGTAGATGTCATGACACTTATTAAGACTGATAGTTTTCTATTTGGCTCTCTCCCATTATTCCAGGTACAGAGATAGACATCTTAAGACTGACATTTGTTGAAGTCTGCAAGCTGTGGGGAGCTACTTACAGTAGCCCATTAAGAAACAGCGAGGGAGAGAGCAGCATCAAGATATTGGAATACTCAGTCCAGTCTTTCCAGGGAAGGATGGCCTCCTGAAGGGGAAACTTCCACCAGCTATAGCTGGGGGACACTCGGTTGAGGAAAAAAAATATTTAATTTTTTTTAACCCACGATTATGGTTCTGCCTTGATTAGGATGTTCATTACAATTTCAGGATTGTCTTTACATGAGTGAAATAGTGGTAAATGTTTAAAGTGAATAAAATTTTCACTTGTTTGGCTTTGATAAATAAACTAAACTGGTCTAATTATGAAATTCACATGTTTTTCTTAGGGCAGTTGCTCCCTAAAGCCTTTAAGAGCTGATGCAGCCTAAATGGAGCCAGCCAGCAACTTTGAGGAGGAAAAAAAAGTTCTTACTGAGGAAACCAATTAACTCTTACAAAAAAAATCAATCTGTTGAAATGGGGAATTTTTAAAAAAGTTTAATGAAAATAACAATTTTTTTTTTTTACCCAAAGGTGATTTTAAAACATTCTGCTTTCAGAGTGAGACCCACTCCTGGCTTCTGGGAGGAAAAAAACGAACAACTGACTTCTCATTCTGATCTAGGATGTGTTATCAGTATGTCAGGTCCTGTTGTGAGCTGGTAAAACTATTGTTGTGTCGGTGCTACCTGCAGACAGACACACTGCTCCCTCTTCTTCCTGCTTTGGTTCACATGAGCCCAGGTGTCAGACATCCCTCATTTTTCTTCATTGCTGCAGAGCAGTAAGCCCACAGATGTGAAGCTAACAGTGCAGGTGTCACCGTGAAGATTTGAAATGTATTTACGTGTATGAATTTAGTCTTGTTGACTGTGTAGTCACTGAAGCATCAGAGGAGTCTGTACAAAGCACAGGCTTTGTTAGCTTTGGTGTGATTTCAGTCATTGGCCACATCTCTACCCAAATGAATGATGGACTGTATGTTTTCTGACTGCCTTTACCTCTTCTGGATCTTCTTTGTCTGTAATTATACCAAACCTGATGAATCATTTCTTTGAAAGGTCGTGTAGTCAAAGTGTAGAGAAGAGGATTCAAAGCACTATTTATTGGCAGTATAAAAATCACCACCCAAGAAGTTATGGTACCTTAGGGAGGAAAAAAGAAAGGAAGCTGTAACATCCATTCCAGCATTAATTCTCCACATTAATTAGTACAAGCCCTTGATGCCTATGCAGCACAGCTTCCTGACGAGAGGGGTAGTCATGCACTCCTAGGCTGAGTTCATGAAACAACAGGTACTTTTCTTTTTCTTCTCACTGTTAGGCTTTCACTGCCCTCTAACTTTCCTCTGTTTCCAGGACCCTGCAAAACCAGACATTTTTCACTCTCCCAGTAGTTCTGTTCCCCCTTACAGTTCTGTACCATAGCTCACTTTCTGCCCTGGCACACTTCTTGTTCTGGCTGAGCCCCATTTGCTTGCCCTAAAATTTTTTCTCTGCTTTGCTCCCTGTCTCTTCCTGATACCTCTGTTCCCTAGTCTCTTCCCATGATGACTGACATCCAATCCTAATGATGTCCCTGATGTCCTGTCCTCCTGCAAAGCAATATCCTCCAGTCCCTGTATCCCCTCAGAGGCGGGTTTTCTCCTCTGCACCAGGACTTCTCCATTCTTCCCCCTGCAGAGAGCATTGCATATGTCCTCCTTATTTCCTTCTTGTACTGTTGGCAAGAGTTTCCGTGTTCACACCATCTTCCTGTCTCAAGGTTTCCAACTCTCTTGCTTATGTCAGGGTCTGTGCGCAATTTTTCCAGCACCCTCTCCTTATCCTTACCATTTGGGAGATAGTTCAGCTTGTTACCTGAGGGGCAGGTGGAGAAGGGCAAGATTTAAGTGCTGAAAGATGTCAGTGGGTGCCCTCCGTTGCACTGTTTGATTTATAAAACAATTCTAGAACTGTTCCAAGCAGTACAAAGAGCTTAATTCACTCTCCCTTCCTCTCCCGCCACCACTGGCTTTATGACTTTGTTGCAATATCAATACATTTGTATTGATGCCCATAACATTGTCTGCAGTTTTGGAAACAAGCAGATACTAAGTTCAAAAGCTGTCTTAGTGTAATCGTCAAAGAGAAAGAAATGCTATGAAATGGAGTTTAAAGCTTCTGAAAACTTGTACAACTATCTGTGGTGTCTTAAATTTTATGAAACGAGTAATTACTTTTAGTCTGGTTTATCTAGCAGAACATTCATTTGCTGAATAAAAAATAAGTTGCAATTTTTAATATTCATAGCATAAAGAAGGTAAGCACAGCTTTATCTAATTTAATGTATTAAACTGTAAGTCTCAGTTTGTAAAATAAAGTTATTTCAGGGTAAGAATTCTATTTTTAAACCAAGGTAGGAAGCACTGTATTGTCCTGAGCCATACTTAGGCAACAGAACCAGAAAAAGCCAAGATGAGAAAAGCCAATGCAATTCAGCCTTGGTTTTCAAACACATTCTGTACATTTTATAGATATTCTACGGAGGCAGACTTCAAACGAATTGAGTTCGAGGTTTTTTTGGCAGACTCAAAGGTGACTAATTTTTTAATGATTATAGTACTGTAGTTCAATGCAGTAGTAAAAGTAGTTCATTATTTTGTGTGTGCATACACATAGATATATAACAAATTTCATTATAGTAATATAGTTCAGTATATTCCATTATTTTTATTTCAGAGTAGAAACAACACTCTTCATACAGATGCAGTTGAAACAGCCTTACAAAAGAAAGGACATACCTGGTATTTCTACTTGAAGTAAAGAAAGGAGTTTCAAAATAAAAATGGGTATCCAACATAGTGCATCAGTAAATACAATGAAGAAAAAACGTTTAGCAAGGATCATCTCTTTTTTAATATGATTCTGAATTTCAGTAGCTGTAATAGCTGTTTGGTGAACATTGTAGAACATACTCCCATAGGAAAACACAATGATGATAAAAGCTGCCAAGTTAACACCTGTTTAAGAAGTTAAAATTAGTTATGATTTTACAACATAATGTCAATTCTGCATCACCTATTTGCAGGCTGGATAGTAAAAAAAATTGTCTAAATGGCTAGTCCCATAGAATTAAGTGGCCAGAATATCTGAGTGTGTATCCACCTGAACATTGAATTTTCAACTCTACTCAGGTATTTATTTCATTCATCATCACCTGATAAATGGCTGCCATCTGATCCAAACTATGTAGTAGTTCTTCTCTGGTCTTACCATTGCTCTGCTTTCCTGATAAAGTCTATTCATCCAGGAACTTAATGGTTTTGTTTTTTTCTGCTTTCTCAGCCCTTCATATATTTTAAGATACGTAAGTATCTATCTAATAGAGTAAAATATTCAGGCTGGAAAAAGTCTTGAAGTGCTTACTAGGGCATCCAGATATGAGGTATGAACTTCACAGCAAAGCTATCTTATTTGTTTGAAAATTAAGTTCATTTGCATCTCTAATTATGCATAAAGAAGAAATGCAACTTACCTAAAAAAATGACAACAGAATAAATCTGGCTTCCTGAACTCTCAGATTGTTCTGAGTGAAGAGGAAAACAGACGCCATTGGTGCCATAGTAGTTCCTGAAAAATTCCTTATTGCTCAATGGGATAAAAGCAACAGCAAACCCAGTTATCCAGATAAGAACCAAAATGGAAATTGTCCTGCATTTCCTGGGCTTCAAACACCTAAAGGGATAAACTATGCAGATGTATTTTTCCAAAGTCAGATAAGTCAACAGTAAGACTGACACCTCTGTAGACAGAATGGCCAGTGATCCCACCAGTTGACAATGAATACTGTCCATCCACAACTGAGCGTGCTTGTTGTATTCTCCACGATATTTAAGATCAAAAGCTCCAATCACAAATAAATATATTCCCATCAGACAGTCAGCACCTGTGGGCACAGTGCTTAACATAATTATTTACACATCTGAATTTCCCATTCTCTGCATATAGTGTACTTATTGGAAAAGACATACACATGTATCTATGAATACATATTTATAAGCCAGCTAATATCAATGTTATAGTTGGAATGATATTGTGAATTACAATTAAGGCAGTATAATTTAGTTCTATTCCTCCTTTTTATTCTTTTTTCCTCTGGACTGACAGTCTATGTTTTATAGTTGTTTTCAACGTGATGCTTTGAAGCTCAGATAAAATTAGTTTGCAAGTAGAAAAAGATAAGCCTCATGTATAGAAATATTCTTCCAGCCCCTTTTTTTTATTAGGTCTTATTCCTTTCAATATTGAGATTTGGCTTAAGAAAAATTGGTATCAGCAGGGCATGCCTGCAGAATTCAAAATTTAGTTTTGGTTTGTCCATGTTAGGCTAGTTCAAAACTGACGTGCACAGTCTTCTAAGACTAGAAAGGGAAGACAAACCGTCGACATACAGTTGGATGCTTCTCAGGTATTATGGGTACCAGTTTTGCATGGTATTCAGATTGTTGCATGGAAACAACGAATTTTCAAAATCACTAACATGCTGTGTTTAGAACTTTGCAATCATATTATACACTGCTGTCAATTACATTTCAAAATGCAACTAATTGCATTTGTGAAATACATGTAGACTCTCCTGTATTGAGACAGGGCACTTGACTGTACTGCCAAATAGTTTGTCCAGAAACCTCTCTTGCTTTTAGGTTGAAAATTTTAAAAATAACCTCATTCTTATCATTTTAGAGCTTGGAGTGATTGATTTTCTACATTTGCATAAGTAACCTTTTGCTCGTGCAAAAAATAGAATAACTATCTTGCACACCATATTAACATTCACAAATTGCTATTTACTCAAAAATGCATGGGAAATTTTAAGTTTATTTGCCTTAGAAAAATTTGAAATTCTATTTTTCCTTGCTGAAGAAAGTGTGAATTTCACACAATACCTGCAGCATTAAAATCAAACATGAAACCTTTTTAATTTATCAACCACCTATTAGTACAGAACAAAAGCAGCATCTAACAAGACCTCCCACTGCATTTTGTATTGTCATTTGCAACAGCAGGAAAATTCAATTAATCCAGTGCTGGAAATATGTTACTATATTATAACAACAAATATACATGCTATGAGCAGACAGAACCAATATTCTTTCATGCATGGAGTACTCACAGCAGAGAGACATTATTGAGATGGCATGGAGCTTATTCTCTGATCTGATGTAAGGTCTCATGCAGATAACAAAAATATTTCCAAAGCAGGTGATGGCAGATACAACCCAGACAAACACTCTCTGTATGATGCTAGCTAAAAGATTCTCAAGGGATGAAATCCCATCAGTATTGGGTTTACAGCTGCGCACATGAGGGGCATATCCACAGTACTGGAATTTCTTAAAATATCTGGTTGTGAGAAAGAAAAACAGGTAAGAGATGGTTCTAGCTTGGTTATCAGAATCTAAAAACTCTAGTAATGGCTCAGAAAACATATTCTGAAAGAAGAAAAATAACTAAAAAGTGTCAAATATGACAACAGCTGACATGCTGCTTTTCATACACTTTTGGTTTTAATTATACAGTATTCTGTAAATTGTAAAATTCAGACCAAAGAATCACAGAATATTAGAAGTTGGAAGGGACCTCGAAAGATCATCCAGTCCAACCCCCCTGCCAGAGCAGGATCACCTAGAACAGGTCACACAGGAACGCATCCAGGCGGGTTTTGAATGTCTCCAGAGAAGGAGACTCCACAACCTCTCTGGGCAGCCTGGTCCAGTGCTCTGTCACCTTCACAGTAAAAAAGTTTTTCCTCATGTTCAGGGTGAACCTCCTATGCTGCAGCTTTCTCCCATTGCCCCTTGTCCTGTCATTGGCCATCACTGAGAAGGGCCTGGCTCCTTCCTCCTGACACTCGCCCTTTACAAATTTATAAACATGAATGAGGTCTCCCCTCAGTCTCCTCTTCTCCAAGCTAAAGAGACCCAGCTCCCTCAGCCGCTCCTCATAAGGGAGATGCTCCACTCCATCAATCATCTTTGTGGCATTGTGCTGCAAAGCATTAAAAAAAGCAAACTGGAATAATCTACTTACATGTGGGAAAGGTTTCTTAGGGGTCTGAACATTCTTCTTTGGATGTTTGCAATTTCAATGCCCTCCAAGCTGCTGTAAATAATATACTCTCAATAAAAAGCAATAGATGCTCAGTAGTAAAAGAACACATTTTATGAATGTTTAATTGTGTTTCTATGATTAATGTAACTAGAGATGAACTTTAATTGCATCTAATCTGTCATCCCTTTGAAACTGGAACAGAATGTCTGTGTAAAAACTAAAGTGGAGTAAAATGAATTGCAGTTAATGCTAATAAACTTGCTGTTCTACCAAAATCATGAAGAAGGCTCTTCTAGTGCTCTCAGCTGTGCAATCTGGATTATTATGTTGCCCTTCCAAAATATTGTCCTACTGATGTTCTTTCATCATTGCTGCGGAAACTAATAATGTTCCAGTTGTATTATTTTACAGGTCTCTTCTGATTTTTTTAATTCTAAGGAGTGATTTACTAGATAAACAAATCACTGCAGGAATTTACTCTTCATTGTGTCAAGAGTAGCAGGATGCTGGAACACAGAACATGGAAAGGGAAAATGCTGGCTTTCTTGTGACACATAGATGACATTTCTTTTTCTTTTGTTTTGTTTTTAATACATTGAAAATGGCATTATTATTTCCCCTGCAGTGGTAAATGAATAAAGTGTAACTGTGTACATTGTTCTTTTAGAACTTCCGTTTCTGCATTCTTCTAATCCATCCCATGCACTGGTTAACCGATGTGCACCATGTCTTCTAAATTGCAACCTGTCGGAGGTCTTCGGTTCTTCTTATAGGGGTGCGTCATTTGAATTCACCATTCAATGCTTTGAGCACAATATTCCCATGAGATCTGAGCACTTTTAGGCAAAAGTGGAGAAAGGTACCAGTCTTACTGGTTAGTTGCTTTGGGCTGGTGAGTAGTTTTGCTAGAAGACAAGAATAAAGCCCTGAATACGGCAACATTTTAGTTTTAAGCACTGCAATGATTCCTGAGGTGTCCTTTCCCTAGCTATTCTTACTATTTTAAACTAGGAAAGAGGCAACTGATGGTCTACAAACTGAGTGCTGAAACATACACTTTCCTATAGATCTCTCTCAAGATTTAACAGCTTTCTGAATTTAAAAAATATGGAAGGTTTTGGTCAGGCAATTGCATGAGTTCTTTGGTGTGAAATAATAGAAAAAATATATATTGTAGCCTGACTCTTAGGGAGGTAATTAATTATTCTTTTCTGTGCTCAACTGCTTATTTTTGTGAAACTTGTATAGATTTGGTATTTTGAGGTTGTTAGCCATTTACAAAATTTAGTTGAATGTAGCCACTGGTTTTCAAATCACTGTAAGGAAGCCGAACTGATCAACAAAGGCATGTGCACTGCTGGCTGCAGCTCACAGATCAATTTATGAACTCCTATTACCCTCTATTCAAGGAGACATCTCGTTTTGGATCTCCACAAACATTTTAAAATGATGACTGACAAGGACCAATGCTGTGCTCTACCAAGCTGGCTATTGCAAACATGCAGTAGCCCATGAAGAGCTACTTAAATCTACTGCAGAACAGTTTCAGATTTGCAAGATTGTCACTGCACTATCACTCAGTTTTAGGGAGAGCTCTGCTGGCAGAATTCAAGTTAAAGCTGCTGTGTTAGTACACCCACAAAAACTAGCCCTAAACTCTTCAAAAAGATTTGTAGAAGTCCCACTAGCCTCTGACATGGTAGCTTAATTGTGAGTGGTTTATATTGTTCTTTTCATATTGTTAGCAGTAAATTCTGTAAGAATGTAAATATGCCCCAAACTTGTACTTATACCAAGTTAATTTATAGTTCCTGTCTTTACATATGCTAATAATTCCTGCTCATGGTGCTAGCAGCCCCAGCTGGACCTTTCATGACCCTTAAGCCCTGCAAACAAATTGTGCAAGGTCAAACAAGGGTTGCATTAAGCCTGTTCTGTAATAGCAGAAAAGACAATATCCTTCTCTGAGCTGAAGTTATGATCTCTTTTTGTTGGAAAAATTTCCGTTATGAAACTGGTATTGTCAGGAACAAAAATTTGAGTATTGATAGTAATCATTTTTCAGTCTTGTATTGTTGAGGATCATCAACAAAATGATAAACTAGTTCAAGGGCAATTTCTTACAAAATATTTTCTGGATCGTGTCCTTCTGAAAAAGATGTGTATAATCACAATGAAAATATAGCTAAAATATAAAAACCTGATACTTACAGGGATTTGAGTTTAATTAGAAAATCAAACTGATCTATTTGTATTTTCTTGATTGGGTTGTAAGAAAGGTTCCTGTAAACACAACATAGACATAAGTAACTTTGTACATCATCCTTACAGCTTGTTCTAAAAATGAAGCCAAACTACTTAAACCATTTGCTTTTCCAGTCACGTAGGAAGGATTTGTGCAACTGGCAGTTACGACTGCAAATGGTAACATTCATTTAGTGTTATTCAGCTTACTAAGCCAGTGGCAAGAGTAGTCAGATGCTGCACAGGCATGCCGTTGTCACACATGCGTGCACACACACACACACACACACAACTGCCTCCCATAGCCTGATGTTTAAGGTTTTGACTATAGAAATATTTAGTTGTTAAACTTCCCATACTTGTCTTTCAAGTAAAAGAACCTAGCTGAACTGCATGCATTTAGAAATAAATTATAATTTATTTTGCTAGTTGCTAAAATCTTTTTTTTCATAATGATTCATATGAGTTCAAGAAGAGACAGAGGCAGTTGAATGTGAAAACAGACATTAGCATCAGATGCTATCACTCTGTGCAAGAGTTTTTCTTGGTGCATCCCTTTTTTCTGTTCCCTATAAGTCTTCCTTATGTTTTCATTTTCATATTGTAACTAAAATGCACAAACTCAATAAATGCAGCTGTACACCCTTGATTGCCCCAGTGTACTCTGATGGATCCCAAGGATGCTAAAAAAGCACAAAAATAAGTTATTCCACATACTACCTCCACTCCTTTGGAGAGGCCTCCTATTTTGTGGCTTGTGCCTCTTTCAGATTATGTGAGAAAAATTGAGACTTTCCAGCAACAGCATTTGAGAACTTGCCTATATACATGTCATCGGGATAAAAAAAAGAGAATGTCTTTCTGGTTTTATAATAACTTACACTTTTTTGGAACTCTTTCACAGGAAAGAAACAGTTGCAAACAAAGCATCTGTATTATGCTCTTACATGTTTATGACCTATTTTTAGAGCCAAGTCCTGATATCACATTAAACATTCCCATCAGATTATTAATTTCTCATGATATAGCTGGCACAGCAGAGTTGTATATTAACAAGATCTAGAAAAAGGTAGAACTTCCTGTCTTCTAGGACATGCAAATACACATCTTTTACAAAACTATTCCAGGCAAACTGTTACATGGATTTACTTTTGGGATAAGTATTTTTTAGGCAGAGCTTAAACGAAAAATACAAATGTGATCTTTTCTTTCCCAGCATTCATGACTGAAAGCATCTTTAACAAAAGAGTAATACAGAGTTAATAATAATAAAGTATTCTTACAGTTGTGAAAGCTCCTTTAGATCCTTAAATATGTTTGTAGGAAGTGATTCAATCTTGTTGCTAGCCAAATCTCTGCAGAAACAGCCACAGGTAGGATACAGTAAGTTCTTACGAGGTTCAGTAATTTTGCCAAACAGTTTTGCAATTTCAAGATACAGTTTTGCTGTATTTGCTAAATAGGATATTATTTATTATATAGGTTATCAGAAACTTGTACTATAAAAGAATGCTGCTAAAGCAAGGTGGGAAGCTAGATCCATCGGATTTCTCTGTCTAGTTAGTTCAGATATGCCATTAAATACATAATTTATTATTTTGCTTTTACATAAAAAATAAAGTAAAATACCCTTAACTTAGGCTGAAGCTTAGAAATTAATTTTCTTGTTTCATGATGGGTATTTTCTCACTTGGACTTGTCAGTAGTACATTTTTCCCTTGGTTTTAATCCCTAGCTGCCTGCTTACTTTCACTGAACACAGATCTTAGTAACTGTGAAAAAAGGAGTAAAGGTCTCAGTCTGACTGAAACTGGCAAACCAGTCTAAAAGACACTGTAGTGATCTAAGATTAGTTAGTATAATTCTATTCAGGAAACATAATTACCTTGTGAGCAAACCCTCCAATATTATCAAAACTCCCAGAGTATTTTATCAACTATTAAATATAAATATACTGTTATAAATATACTGTTAAATATACTGGAAAAACCCTGAAGATGGGTGCTGTTATATGAAATAGAGTTTATGATAAATGATGATAGCAATATAAATTATAAAACTCTGTGACTTTTGTACAAGAGAAGAAATCAACTCACAATTCATCTAACATCTGGAGAGAAGAAAAGCTGTTTTCATTTAAAGAGCTGATTTTATTTCGTCTCATTACCCTGAAAGAATAAAGCATAAACTTATGTTGCTGCTTCTTGGTATCTATTTGGTTTTGGAGAAAACTTTTTATAAACTTTTAAAATTATCTTTTATTTCTATCTTCAAATATTTCCCAAATTCAGTTAACAAGCTAATCAGATCTTGAAGCTTAACATTTAACCATTTGATAAATATCTTTTATTGCCTGTACATGTACGTGCACACGCACACATGCACGCGCACGCGCGCGCACACACACATTTAAATTTGCCAAGGCCAGCAGGAAGATTAAGTGAGCTGGAAGGCTCATGACCTAACCCCATCCTGAACACAGGCATATGGCCATGCAACTTCTCCTTCACCTGTATTTCATCTGCCACTGAGCTTGCTCCTTAAATGAACAAACTGGTTTTAAAAGCAAAGAGAAAGCCAATATGGGTACAGCACAAGTGTTAAAAATCGAAAGTGACAGGTCCTGTGGAGTCTACTAATCTAGCAAAAGGTTGAAGGGATTTTCTGAAGATTATTACAACATCATTGTTGTAATCAGTCAAACTTATGGGAAAATTCTAAAAGTGATGAGCCAGCCACATAATTTTGTATGATTACTGTTTTTTATTATGAGATTGTTGGTTCCTTTTCCAAGTAAAACATTAGGATGAAAATGTCTAAATTTTAATAACAGTGAGAATCTCCTCTGTGAAGTTTAGTTGCATATATCAACACTGAACTTCGCTATCAATGTAAACTGCTGTTATTCTGTGTGGTGCTCATTTAAAATGGAACATTTTAATTTAATCTCGTTGGGACCTAAATAAGGAAACTTTTATATTAGCTGTAATGTTCCAACAGTTGACTGTTCAGCACAAGCATATCTCACCCTGGCTGGCTAGCGTATCCTGCTACTTACAGTACAGTTAGGGTGCTGCAGGAGATGAAAGTGACATTTCTTACGTGATGGATATGGTTGCCTTCAAGGTCTCTGCAATATAAAACCAAAACATAATCACTGAAAATACATTCAGGCAGTTATTCTAAGGTAATTAAAGAAAAATGCTACCAGAGTTTCATGACTGCACAATAGAGGGTGGAAACCACACATCTAATATTTCTGCACGTCTAATTAATGACATCAGGTCATCAACTCTGCAGTGACCCGGTAGGCACTCCATAAGATTCTGCATACCATTAGAAAAAGTTGCATAGAAGTGCCAAAGACAACAAAATAATATTTCTCTAGTGAAATAAGGTAGACTTACAGCCAGTTCAGTCTTGGCATATATTGGCACAGAGGTTTATCAGGCAAATGAGCAAGAGAATTATTCATCATTTCTCTGAAAAAAAATAGTATAGCTATTTATATTTGCCAAAAATCACATTATAGAAAAAAAAATATGTTTCACATGTTCGTACTTTTGAAAAAAAGGCAGTCAAGGCTTGATTCGTTTCTCAAGTTTTGAAGGTAGTTGGAGAGGAGTGGCTGGAAAGCTGCCTGG